TATGACAAACACCTACAATATACTCAACTTCACAAGTTGACAAAGCAACAACTGGTTGTTTCTTAGAACACCAAGAAATAGGACCTCCCAGATACTTTCTTCTGTCAACTTTGTCTCCACACCAATCAGAGCCCGAGTAATACATCAGCTCAGAATTATCCTTTTCTCCATAAGGAACAAAATTCCATGCTTTAGAGTTCCCTTAATATACCTCAAAATCCTAACAACAACTTGGTAATGAGACCACTTCGATTTACTCATGAACCTGCTAGTCATTCCAACTGCATAGACAATGTTAGGCTTGGTATTGCACAAATACCTCAAAGAGCCAACCAACTGGTTGAAAGTTGTAGCATCAACATCATCACCTTCAGTATCAGAATCCAATTTGTGATTTTTCTGACGGTGTGACAACAACCTTACAACTCAACAACTTGAATCTCTTCAGAAGCTCAAGTTCATACTCAGCTGATGAAAAATATACCCTTCTAAAAGTACATAAACTGCACCCATAGGAAATATGTCATCTTTCCTAGATCAGTAATCTCAAACTCATTCATCATCACCTTCTTGAACTTAGCTATCTCATGTTCATAACTCCTTGTTACCAATATGTCATCAACATACAAACACACCATAATCACATGGCCTTCAGAAGTATGATGAACATAAACTCCATACTCCATCTCACACTTTATGAATCCTTGAAGCTTGAAAAATGAATCAATTTTCAGATTCCAAGCTCAAGGAGCTTGTTTCAGTCCATATAATTCTTTGTGTAGCTTATACACCATCCATTAATGATTCTTTTTCTCAAATTCAGGAGGTTGTAACACGTATACCTCTTCTGACAATGGATCGTTCAAAAATGTAGGTTTCACATCTAAATGCATTAGAGAACAATTCGTGTTAGCTGTTATCGCAATCACAAGTTTGATTGTCTCATTTCTCGCTACAAGATCAAACACTTCAAAGTAACCTAACCCAGGTTTATGTAGAAATCCTCTTGCTACTAACCTTGCTTTGTGTTTTCAAATTGATCCATCTGGATTTAGTTTCACCTTGAAAACCCATCTGAGCCTGATGACTTTCTTGTCCTTTGGAAGCTCAGTCAACAACCAAGTCTTGTTTCTTTCTATAGCCTCAAGTTCTTCTTTCATAGCCTTCAGTCACACTTTTTTCTTGAGCTCTTTTCAACACTGAGTGATTCAGAGTCTATTAACATGGCACACTGAATGACTTTCCCTTCAGAGTCTACTTTAGTATCTTGCAACATGTCCATCTCTGCAAATTTCCTTGGTATGTTTCTAATTATTTATGGCCTATGAACTTTTTCAGGATTGTCTTCAGGTTATGGAACAGTATCAGATGCTAGAACCTCAGAAGTACCACCTTCATAGGAATGACCACCTTCAGAGTCTGGAATATTCCTAGAGTCTGGATCACAACCAGAGTCTGAATCACCATCAGAATCTAGATCAGAATTAGATTCACATTCAGAGCCTTCTTTAGCTTCAGAGTCACCTTCAGACTCTGGCTCATCTTCAGACTAACCTTAAGAAGTATCTTCTAATTCTGACTCATCTTCAGAACCTTCGGATTCTGAAGTATCTTCAAAAATTAACTCAGGTGTTAACACCATATTAGGGTTGGATTGAGATTCACTCTAATCTCACGCTTTTGATTCTTTCACAATAACGTATCTGTTGAATCCAATCTTGTTAGTGACATGATAATAGAGCTTATAAGCACCTGTGCTGTGGTACCGTACAAGCAACATAACTCTACTTTTATCATCCAACTTCCTTCTCTTAGCATCTCAGATATGTTTGTAAAACATAGAAGAAAACACCTTCAGATGGATCACACTTTGCTTATCTCCACTCCACTTATCTAAAGGAAAAATTTCCTTTAGCTTCTTGGTTGGACACCTATTGAGCACATATGCTTCAGTGGCAATAGCTTCTCTCCAAAAGGTGTGAGAAAGCTTCTCATCCTTCAGCATGTTTCTCTTCATATCAAGAAAAGTTTGGTTTCTTCTTTCAGCAAGACCATTGTGTTGAGGAGTGTATGAAGCAGTCACCTCATGCACGATTTCATTCTCTTCACATATATTTTTGAAATTGATAGAGTTATACTCACTTCCACCATCGGTTCTGAGAATCTTCAGAGTCTGACCATTCTGATTCTTAGCCTTGATTATGAATTTCTTAAATTCAGCAAACAACTTGTGTTTGAACTTTATAATGGATACTCACATCATCCTTGTGAACTCACCCACAAATGACACAATGTATTTATTCCCTCCAAGTGAAGGAGCTGGAAATGGTCCACACACATCAGAATGCATCACACCCAAATCATGCTTTGCTCTTGGAGGCATTTCAAATGCAAATAGCAGTCTTGGTTGCTTCCCTCTCATGTACACGTTGCATGACTTCTTTGGCTTCTTAGTTGTAGGAATTCCATGTACCAACTTCTTCAAATTCAGATGCCTTATGCTTATGAAGTTCAAATGACCAAATCTTTTATGCAACAACTTACTTTCCTTCAAAACACTTGTTGCACTAAGCCATTCAGAGTCTGCAATTTTAACATTCACCTTGAATGTTCTATTCCTCCCCTATTCTGACTTCATAATCATCTTTTGATTATAGTCATACAACTTCAAAAGATTGTCCTTCATGGTAATTGGAAATCCTTTCTCAATTAATTTACCTACACTCATCAGATTGTTTTTCATACCAGGCACATACCACTCATTCCGAATTAATGTTATTTTATCATTATTCATAACTACTCTGACATTTCCTATACCTTCAGCGTTGAGGTATTTATCATCAACACATCTGATCTTTGTCCTCTTTTTAAAGTCAAAGTCAACCAGCCATTTCTTATTTCTAGTAATATGATTTGAGCAGCCATTATCCATATACCACCAGTCTGTTAAATACGCATCATCAGATTCATAAGCCATTAATAGCACAGATTCATCATCACAATCTCTTCTGGCTATGTTTTCTTCTTCTAACTTCCTTTCTTTGTTTGACCAACAGTCAGTAGTGAAGCGGCCAAACTTCTTACAAAAGTAGCACTAAAGCTTTCTGTTTTCATACTTCTCCTTCTCCTTTTGAGCACTACTCTTGCCTCTAGAACTTGAGGTTTCTGACTTCTGAGTACCATCAAATCTCTTCCTGACTTCTGACCAAGTCTGCTTCTGATACTTCTTACCAAAGGCTGCTTTCAGAGCCTGTTGCTCTACCTCCATTTGCGAGTTTCTCTTAGTCAGACGCAACTCTTGTGCCTTTAGACTGCTTTGCATCTCTTCTATTCTCATGATGCTAAGATCCTTAGAATGTTCAATTGCTACCACAATGTAATCAAATTGAGGAGTAAGAGATCTAAGTACCTTCTCGATGATCTTTTCTTCACTAGGAGTTTCTCCACATGACTTCATTCCATTTGTAATCAAAATCACTCTAGAGATATAGTTAGGTACCTTCTAATTGTTCTTCATGCTGATATTCTCATACTGCTTACGTAGAGTCTGAAGCTTCACCTTCTTCACTGATGCATCATTGTTGTAGCATCGTAACAGTGTGTCCCACGCAGCCTTCATCGTCATCGAATCAACAATTTTCTCAAACATGTTCGCATCCATAATCTGATGGATGTAGAACAACCCCTTATGATCCTTCTTCTTTAGATCACGCTGAGCATTCCTTTGCGCATCCGTTGCATTTTCCGAAAGTGCAACCTAAACATAATCGTCATTGACAAGATCAAGAACATCTTGAGTGTCAAATAACACACACATCTGAATCATCCACCGATTCTAGTTCTTGCCTTCAAACACTGGAAGCTTGGTACTCAGATTACCATTTCCGTTCATCTTTGACCTTGTGCAGTTCACTCATATCTCACTAAACACTAGTGTTTTCCAATCACGCAAAATCAAGAAATGTAATTCTGTTACGATTTCGATCAAAAATTTCTACACGAATTCAAGAAACGAAATCAATCACACAACACCTCATCGTTCACTCGTGTTTTCTTGTGGATCTGAACCGCTCTAGATACCAATTGTTGGTATACACAAGGTGAAAAAGATGGAAGAAGAGAGAGAATAGAATAACAGACTTCCACTATTTTACTAAAACAGTTACAACAAAATGGTTGCACACATTGCACTACAATACTTAGTGGATACAAATAATAATATTATATAGTATTATATAGACACAAATAATAATACCACGTAGATTAAATAATAAAATACTGAATTACCTTTCAATTTTGATGACAAATGGTTCGTGTTATTAATTAGTGAATGACACTCTTTGATTTTGTAGAAATCTGGCTAGGTTTAAGAAAAATTTCCCCATCTCAAATTACTATCAACAAAATAAACGTTTAATGAAGGAATTTCAAAGCATGTTGCCTTATAGAAGAAATTTTAAATTCTCAAATATTTATTCTCATAAATTCTTTTCATTAAATATAATCATATCCATTAAATAGTTTGCATACACTTTTAGTGTCATATAATTTTTTGTTGTTTATAAGATTAGTATCCTCGTATAGTTGCATGTGCACGACTTTGAACTTATGTTTATCTCATTAGTTTGTCATATACCATAGTAAAACAGTAAGTCCAAATTTGGTCTTAAGTTTTAACTCATTAGTTTGTCATATACCATAGTAAAACAGTCAAGTCCAAATTGAATTGAAATCAAATGTAAATGACTAAATTTAACCACAACTAAAATAGTACTAGTTCAAGTAGTTTAACATGCCATAGCAAAAAAAGAAAAAACAATGAACATCATCAATACATCAAATTATTTCTTTCTTTCTTATTTTAGAAAATAGATCACATAATTACTACAACTACATAACTTAAATTCATTTAATTTGTATAATCCATTAGATAAGTAACTTAGCACACATGAAACATAGAAGCACAAATCATTCTTTTCTGATTTATTATAACCTAAATATTAGATCATCATAATAAAAGCAAGACCCATTAGAACATGGCTAGTAGTCTTCACAGCATTGTTTTCTTCAGTCTGGATATGCTCAGCCACATTAAAGTTACCTGCATGAAAGAATTTCTCATCACAAAAATCAATAAAGCCTATAGTATTTGCACTAATCTCTATAACATTGTAATCACCTCTTTGAGGACCATAACCACATCCAGCTAGAATTGTTTCTTTAACATCATGTATGGTTGCTCTATTGTAGAATATGAAGTTGCTGAAAATGTTGTCAATGCAACCGAGAACCAAGTTTGTCTCAGACATACATGGTCCTTCACAGAATACATCAGTTTTTTCAGAAGGTATATCTAGATTTCCATTTTCGCTCAATCTGTATGACTCTTCACAGCTTTGATAAATCTATATCACATTTTAAAAACAATTATCACAATCAACGTTCTTACTTTGATAACCCTAGCCAGATATATCTAGATTAAACAAAGGGTTGTATTTGAGAACGCGTGGAATCGGTTATCGCACAAACCCAAAATTTGCCACAGTTAACCTCATAAAATATTTGTCACCGTTAAAAAGTTATAAATAGACCCCAATTCTAACTAATTTATGCATGTCCTACGAAAATTTAAGACGACCTGGATTACACTAAATATGAAGAAACATAATTTTGAAGATATAGTGCTCACATATTTATCATTGAAACAAAGCAAGGCTTTTGAGATGATTGGAGTAGGATCTCCAAAGCTTCCGCTACTGCCGCTGCCACCGCCAACTCCTGATCCGCCACCGCCACTACTACCAACCCCCGAACCTCCACCAAAACCAGCGCCACCACCGCCATTACCAGCTCCACCACCACCACCACCTATCTGAGTATCAGGCTCATCATCATCAGCATCTCCTGCCAAATTATATTTTATATAATCAAAACCAATAGTTAATTCTAAAACAATCATTGAACTTATTTACTCTAGTTAATTACTTACCAAAGTTATTCAAGAACAAACAAATATAAAGGAGAGCAAAGACTAAGATCCAACGTCTAACACTGATCTGAAATACCATTATAGAAGCTTGTGTATGATATCAATTCATGCAAATAAAGAAGTTTATTTCGGTGTATATATATCATATATCTATGTAATGTAATGTTACACACTTTTGTGTCATGCTATGCTACATATGTCATGCTAATTTAAATTCCTAGCGACCAAAATTACCAACCACTATTATTTAGCTTTCTTAATCAAGTTAACAAAGTAAGCATGTGTGTGAAAAACTTGTAATTACTTGCTCATGTTTTTCTCAACAAGATTAACCTCCCACAATTATGTAAATTAATGGTTTTCTAAATATTCAATTGAAATGAATGAGTTTTGAAGGTAGTAGTACACAATGTGTTTGGTGAGTTTCATTAGAAAGGGAAATTCTAGTCAAAAGAAAATGAGTGAAAGAAAATTAGGACATGGCAGCAGTTGAAGTGCAAGCCACCAACTTTCCTTTTTTCCCTCGAGTGCAATTAATCAAACCTAAAATGGTTTTCTTGCTTTCTAATACTTTCTTTACAAGCTAAGGTAACACTTATTGCATTGAAAAAACGTATGCATTTTTTAAGGCGAATTCTTTTGTAGCCATAAAAATTAAGAGTTACATTATTCACCATATTTTTTATTTAAAAAAATTGGTGTTCGACCTTGCAACCAACTAATTTAAAAATATTAAAAGCAAAATTTTGTATGTAAGCCATAAACTATAAAATAATATAAATATATAAATATAATTTATTTTGTTTCTATTAGATTGACCTTTTAGATTGATTGCATTTTAGCAAAACAATAATTGAAGAAGTGTCCAAGTGTTTAAAATTGGTCTAATTCGCTAAAGTTATATGAAGTTGCAGAAAGAACACATGTTTGGTGCGATGCTCCAGCATGTTGGTAGGACATCTGAGTCTTACTCAACATGCGTCAGAATGTTGCATTTTTTAGTATGTTCGATAGAAAATTTGTCAAATATTTTATTGTTATTAATTTAATAATATGATTAAGTGGTTTGTTTGATAGCTCGATGAAGATTAATTCATATTTAAATGAAATTTTAATTTTAAATTTAAATTGAAACAAAACTTATCTTGTTGGAGATATTCAAGGAACAAATTAAATATCTAACAAATTCTGCATTAATTATGAACGAAATTGAAGATATTATACATGGAGAAAAGCCCAGAGTTATTTGCTATATAAGGAGCTCAAACCTACATTGAAAAGCAAGCATTCCTTATGAAGATCTTAGAGTGTCAGGGTTTACAAGAGTCCTTGTTATTTTTATGTACATCTCTATGTTTCAGTAACTTGACATAGAAAGTTTGTCTAATTGAGTTGTAATTCAACATTGTTATGTACACCTCTATGTTTTAGTGAATTGACATAGAAGGTTTGTCTAGTTGAGTTGTAATATTCAACATTCTTTCTTCTTGTTAAGATTGAAGTTGATCACTAGTGTTTAGTGGTTGTTTTTTCCTGTCACTGGTTTTGTGGAAGACAAGAAAGTAAGTAGGTTTTCATGTTTAGGGGAGGATTCTAAGTAGAAAATTATCGGGTAGTGTTAGAAAAAGGCATTGGACAATATAGGGTTTGTTGTTGCTTCTAAAAATAATTGTACTAAACTACTAATAAGTGATTTTCTTTTCTTTGGTTGTGGAGTTAGCCCCCATACGTAGGTGTAGTTTCATTGAACTGCGTAAACAATTGAATGTCTTGTCGATTGCTTTTCTGCTTCATCATCTAGTAATTGCTATTATAGCCGTTCTGGTGTATATTGTCGAACCTATTGTCGAAGCACCGTGTTCGACATATGTCCCTTAAGGAACATAATTTCAATTGCAAAGATCTCAAAGTTTTCAGGATTTGTTGACCCTAACTTCGTCACTAATAGATTTGAAGGAGACAACCTTGTTGATTCTACTCTTCCTCAAACTTCAATCAACTCTTCCAGCTTTTCTTTTTATACTTTCTACCCTGAGGCAATTTGAGCTAACTCATTTGCTTCTTGGTTTCCAATTCTAGGGAGATGGTGAGTGTTCACAAAATCGAAACACTTAATTAGTCAATTGACTATAACGAAATACACGGTTAAGTTTTTCTTAGTATATTTGTACTCCTTTGTTATTTTCTTAACAACTAGCTCAGAGCCTCCTCTTACTTCGACAATCGTTGCCCCCAAGTCTAACAAAATAACGAGACTATGTATCAAAGCCTCATACTCGACTTCATTATTTGAGCAAGAGTTGTCAATCCTATATTTGAATCTCGTCAGAATTTTGTCGGGGGAAATTATTAAAATTCCTATGCCAGTTTCATTTTTATGGCTGAAGTCGTCAAAGTATAATTTCCAAGGTTCAAGCTCCAAATAATTCTGAGGTGCCTCGACTATCGAATGATCCACGATGAAGTCGGCGACTATCTGCCCTTTCATGGGCTTCAAAGGCACATATGTTAGGGAGTATTTCGTTAAGGCTAAGCCCTATTTTCCAATTCGACTATGTGAAATTGATTTAAATAACATGTGTTTAATAATGTCAAAATGCGAAGACACACACACATTCACTGGCTTTATATAGAGTTTTAATTGCATACATGAGAAATACAAGCAAAAACACATCTTTTCTATAAAACTATACCTTAAGTTATACATTGTTCAAGACTCGACTAAAGTAATAAATGGTCCTTTCGACACCATTATCATCTTCTTGTGGTAACATGCTTCATATAGTCGAGTCTGATGCATAAATGTAAAACCTCATGAACTTATTTCTAATAAGAGGGGACAAAATTGGAGGATTCATTCAGTACTCCTTTATTTTTTCGAAGATCCTTTGATGCTTTGGTTGCAATCTGAATTCTTCATTTTTTAGGCAAAGTAACGGTGAGAACGCTCAAATATTGCCACTAAGGTTTGAAATAAACCTCCTTAAAAAATTTATCTTCCCCAATAAAGATTGGAGCTCTTTCTTAGTCAAAGGAGGTTGAGTTTCTATGATGGCGTTAATCTTGTTCTGGTTAATCTCAATGCCTTTCTTATGGACAACAAAACCAAGGAAATATCCATCCTGCGCATAAAAAGCACACCTAAGAGGATTCATCTTTAGTCCGTACTTTCTCATTCTTTCGAATGAATGTCGAAGGTGGTCAAGATGACCATTTCCCAGCGCTGACTTAATGATTATATCGTCAATATATATTTGCATAAACGTTTCGATATAATCATGAAAAATTGAATTCATCACCCTCTGGTAAGTTGCTCAAGCGTTCTTTAAGCCAAATGGCATCACCGCCTATTCATAAGTGCCTAAGGCTCCTGGACATCGAAATTCCGTCTTCAGTACATCCTCATATGCAATGAAAAATTTGGTTATAACCAAAATAAAAATCAAGCACACTGAGATATTCGAAACCCGCTGCTAATTCGACCAATATGTCGGCGACAAACATTAGGTATTCGTCTTTTAGGGTTGTTGCATTCAAATCTCTGAAGTTGATGTAAACCTTTAGCGTTTCGTTTTTTTTTAATCATTTGAAAATATTTGAAAACCATTTGGCATACCTTGTCGTCCTTATAAACTTTCTTTTTAGGAGTCTTTCAATTTCCTATTTTATTTTGAGTATCACCTCTAGTGCAAACCGTCTAAGCGTCTTTTTGACCAGCTTCTTGCTAGGCTTTATTGGAAATTTTAATTCCACCAAATCCCTACTTAAACCTAGAATTTCATTATAATCTCAAGCGAAATAGTCTTTAAATTCTCGAAGTAAATTAATTACCTCTAACATTAGACTCGAGTCAAGGTTGACACTGATATATGTCTACCTTATGTTAGCTCATTCTCCTAAGTCAATTTCTTCCAATGTATCCTGAGGCTTTAGCTTTGTCACTGGCGCAACAAGATCCTTCTCGAAGCCCAAAGGATCATCATCATAAATGTAATCGAGCCTCTGGTCTTTTATGCCATCATTTTTTATGCCTGCTGAATGTAGCTTTTCGAGTGATTTAGGCTTGACGTTTACCTTCTGAGCCACGTCAAACACTTCTATTTCATTACCTTCGACATCCATATGTGGTATTTCGGCCTCTAAGACCACTTTTAATATGTCCTCGGCTACGTAAGCCAAAATTCGCTTTAACGCGTCGAATTCATACATCATTGTCAAACTCGTCACCCCAGTCAATTGACCGGATGATGTCATAACTTCTCTCTCCTATGATTTACTTATCCCACATGGATCCATGGGTGGGTGTATCTTGATAGAATAAAAAGCCTTTTCTAGAGGCATGTAAGAAAACCCTACTGGAGTGTAAGGTGTTATTTTAGCTAGATTCTTTTCAAAGTTCCTCTTATCTACATGATTTACTTCCGCCATGAAATACCTCTGGTCATCTTCCATATTTTCCAATATTCCATTGCTTCTTCAAACTGTTATCCTATGATGAGGTGACGAAGGCACAACTCCTACATTATGTATCCACTCTCGACCAAGGAGCAGATAATAGCTCGTCTTTTATGCGATAACCATGAAAATAGTAGGTCGAGTTATCGACCCAACCGTCACATCGACCTAGATAACACCCATTGTCTTCCCTGTTTTTCCTTCATAATTTGAGAGCACCATATTATGTGGCCTCAAGCTAGTGTCGTATTTTCCTATCTTTCCTAATAAGAAATGAGGAATAAGATCAACAATAACCCCTCAATTCACTAGAATCTTATTCACTGTAGTGTTCTCCAATTTTGCCCTTATAAAGAGAGGCTTCATGTATTCTTCATTCCTTCACGTGGTCTTTCAAAGAATGCATTCTGTTCTTTGATGCATACATTGTTCATTACAAAATAACACACAGGTTTGTGCCTTGTTATTTCCTTCTCCTCACAATCCGCTGGTTCAACCACCTTCGTAACACAATCATACTCCCTTAGAGGTACCGACACCATTGCATAACACATCAAAATCATCCTCTGGTGCCTCTTCCTTTTCTTTTCCATTCGACTTTAGTGGTTTAGGAGAAAACAATTG